ACGTACCACTCTTTTGTTTACATGTGGACATCTCATAAGTTTTACGTGAAACGCACATAGACTCAGTATTATGTGAAAATCACGTACATTTCTTTGATTATGTAGGTGTGTTACACAGGAACTCCCTGTGAAATTCAAGGGACATTACGTACATTCTACGTGAGCCACGTAAAACTGAGAGGAGAGGAAAAAGTGAGAACTTACGTGTTTTTCACGTAGCTTCAACGTGTAGATTATTTTGAGTGTAGTGTTAGTATGCGTGAGCAAGCTACCAGTTACGCCAAACCGACGATCAAATGCATTGTTTACAAAAGCTGATACGTCTCTTCGAAAAAGTAGTCGAGAATTATTCATGTGCGTCAATGTTTCAGTAGTTGGTATCCATAAGCGTGAATTTTTTTCTCGTCTCAGTTCAGTGATCAATTCCCAGTGTTGCGCAATAATCCACAAAGTTGCTATAATGGATTCACCTTCAATGTAAATGTAAATGTTGTAAATGTAAATTAACAACTGTATCAAAACCAAATCAGGTAACTACTTCGTCTAATTGTAGGCATGAGTAAATATAAATAATATAAATAATTAAATATAAACATAAATACAAATAATAATAAAAAATATAAATATATAAATAATTATATATAAATATAAATACAAGTCGTACTACAGGGTAATATGCCGAGGGTGGGTATATCACAAAAACCACGCAGGAACGATAATCGATGGAGCTAGGGAATAATGGGGTAAATTCTACACAGTATTTTGAAGGAGCCAACTCTAATCAGGTAATAGTAGCAATTAATAATCAAACAACCATAAAAAAGGTAAAAATGAATTAATTTATTTTAAATACAGTAATGACCCGAGTTTGTCAGCCCCTCCGCGCTTCAGACATTTTTCTTTCAATAATTTCACATAACCATAATTCTAAATTTTTCTCATTCATCGTTAAGAGTGATATTTAAAGTATACTTTGGTGCACCTATTAATAAGATTACTGAAAAAGGGCATGGGTTTTGTAGAACATTGGAAAACCTTTTCAAAAAAGGGGGCAAGACTAGAAGGTTCCGAAAAAAACGTGCTCAACTTTTTATCTGTCAAACTTTCATAGCGAATCAAAACAAACATAGTGTACTACTAGAATTTCTACTAGAATGGGGTGCGCTTGTAGATGTACTTGGAACCAATAGGCTAGTCAAGTAGTGAGCTAATTTAAAATCGTTAGTTTCCGGTTCCTTAAGTGGCTTGATTTTCAACGCTTGTTGTATAGAGACTTGTGCGTCTGATTGCAAAACTGTGAACTGAAAAGTCTAAGGAAATTAATTGGGCTTTTCGTTAAAAATATTTTCAAGATTGGACACTCACGAATAACATCTCAAAATGGTGAAAATTGCTCAAATTATGCGATAAGTGAATTTTAACCTACGAGCACAGACAAACAGACATAACACATTGAATATTTCTCACTGTAAAACATCGTCGCTAAAACATTACCGCCATCTATTGAGTACACTGTGGTGGGTAGGGTTGCTTCCACTCACTTGTTATAAAAACATTATTTTCTGAATTTTGAAATCATTAGATGTTATAATGATATTTTGTACTTGTTAGATACAAAAAGATGTTAAAAGGCAAGTGTTCGACTCATAAAACCTGTCCATTTCGCTACCAGAGTGTTACAATCAGCGATCTTATGATTCGTGAGCGTTCACTCAGAGTGAGCACTCGCGAGTCGTAAAATCGCTAATTGTGACTATCTGAAAGCGAATTTGACAGGTTGCATGTGTCAAACACTTGCCTTTCAACCTCTTCTTGTATCTAACAAGTACAAAATATCATTATAACATCTAATGATTTCCAAATTCAGAAAATTATTTTGACGTAGGACTACGTCTTTGATTTCTATATGGGGGTACACTTTGTGAAAACCTAAAATGGAACATGTAACAAATTAAGAAAGATTTTGAACGTTAATAACTCAGCTGCCCCTGGTCCAATTTCAATAGTTTTATCACCAATCGATTAGAAACATGGCTACGCATCGATAGAAATGCTTCCAAATGATGATTTTTAACAAGAAACTATTGAAAAACTGGTAAATGTCCAGCATTGTCCAAAAGCGTCGAATTACCTAACAAATCCACCAATTACCTACATGCATATGCTGCTTCCCCAGCACAGTCGTCAGAGAGTAGTAAGTAGACGAAACAAGTCGAAGTGGCATTTGCCTCCGATCCTCGGGCGCGTGCAAATAGGGAGGATGGAATTGCGTAATATTTAGCACACTCATCGCCATACTCAGAACCACACGCTCTCAACGACCACACCACTGTGTGGTGGTGTTCGGTCGTCGAAATTAGTAGCAGCAGTAGCAGTGCTTTCGGCGTATGGCGTTGAAAATTGTTCTCCAGTAACAACCCAAGTCTGCCTGCAAGCAGCGAGCTGCAGAGCCCACATAAGCAACCATCAAAGGAGGAAGAAGCTGCACCGCTATGCTATGGATCGGAATCAGTAGCTCTTCGTGAGTCACTGCGGGTCGGTCATCTATGCCAAGCGTGTCACCCTTGCTCCAAACGACATACAGCTCGACAGCATCATCCGTGTTGAACACCCAGCTCAGAATTACTCAACCATCACTACAACATGGTCCTTTTCAGGGCCACCAAAAATCTCTTAAAGAGTATTATTTGCACATTGGTCAAGGTCATCAGTTCCCGCAAGCAGCTAGCTATCAAGGCTCAAGCTGTCTATAGAAGGTGTGGAATTGTAGGCCTTAATATTTTGGTGCAATTAGTTTTTCCTCGGCTTTCATTCCGCACGATTCGTTTCTTTCGTTTAATCAATCACCCTTGTAGTGACTTCAAAAAGATTGTTTCAATCGGCGCTTACATATGAAATTTGATGTGGATTATAGAATTTTTTGTATGGTACCAAAATTTATGAATGGTTTGCTACTAAATGTTGAGATAATTTATTGATTATTGAATTATTACACTGTATACAATGGAAAAGCAGCCTGTTTGTGAGTTTTTGCCTGTTTTCATGTAAGGAGTTATCATAAAAAACAAATCGCCAGCTGGTATTTCCCAGCGACTTTACAAATAAATAAAATCAAACAAAATCATCATGCAGAACTAGCTAGGATTTGTTTTACTTCAGATTTCACAAAATTGCTTTCGAGTGTTAAGACATCGTCTCCCGCAAAGTTTACATTTTTCCCTCTACCAACACATACAACACAGGGCTAGATAGATCTCCACAGGATCTATAGAATCCACGCAATTTCAAAAAACCAAAATGCACAGCATTACGAAAAGAGGTCAGGTTTCGACCAATAGCAGATAGATTTTAATTCTAAACAAGCCAAACGATTGGAAATTTATCTACCAATCTGCTAAAATGAACACTTAGTTAATTTTCAATAGCTCACTATTGAAAAATACCAAATGTCCAACTGTTGCAATGGTGATCAAAATTATCACCGAATGTCTGAAAACAGCGCATTCTCTAACACAGACTTAAAAATCGAATTCGATGCGGTCCCACTGAACGGTGCTCATTCAATCACCGTAAGTGGTGTCCAGTCCAGTGCTTTCAACAACAACAACAACGAAAGGCTGCCTGCAAGTAGCGAGCGCAGAGCTCATATGAGCAACCATAGAGAAGGAGGAAGAAGTCCCACCGCTAGACTAGGATCGGAATCAGTAGCTCGTCGTGCTCTGCTCAGCATTACTCAACCATCACTACAAAACAGTCCTTTTCAGGACCACCATAAATTTGTTAAGAGTATTATGTGGACATTTGTCAAGGTCATCAGTTCCCGCAAGCAGCTCAACCTGGTTTCTATAGAAGGTGTGGAATTGTAGGCCCGAATGTATTGGTAAGATTAATCAACGTCCGACCATTTTCCAGAACACGCTGGTAGGTAGTGTTAAAAATCCATATAGAATTTGAGAGAAGTGGGAATAATTCGCTTTGGGTGTATATTCAGTCCCCAGAAAGAAAATAAAATCAAATTTGTGAGAAAATTAGCTCTCACGAGTTCAATCTCTCGAAGTCCCTCCTTTTTTACATATTCTGCACAAACGATACTTTTCGCCCCGCTCCATTCATATAATTCGGAAGGAAATCCTGTGAGTGGTGAATTGAATACACTTTAATATCAAAATGCACAAAACTTAAAAAATCTTCATCAACTTTCTCTTTGAAATAAATACTACAAATTTGATACGCTTACAAATAAAAAGGGAAAGAGTTAAGATAATTGATGATTGATCAATTAAAAGAACTAAATGTTCACATTTGTTCCGTCCACTAGCGGTCCTACGTCAAGATTCCGTCCGTGCCCTTAGGCACAGACCCTTCTACTTTTTTTTATAGCAGGTGAGTGGAAGCAAGCCTGGGTGGGTAGTACACTGAACAGCTGGCGGTAGTGTGTAAACGTCAAACGCAAGGGAAATAACTATGCGCGCCACAGGTGGCGGTACTGCCAACTACGATACTTTTAAATTGACCGTTAACTGCTTGTTCGATGAGCAACTTGCGAGTGTTATGTGTGTTTGTCTGTGCTATGAGTATCTCGAAAATAACAACTTTGGGCAAATTAAGCACTAAGAGCTTTTGTTGGGGCTCTAATTAAGTCCAACGAAAATTCTGCTGGTTATATTGCCCTGAAAGGCCACATTTATTTGCCCTGAAAGGCTACAATGACTTGCCCTGAAAGGCCACTATTTTGCCCTGGAAGGCACCAAACTTTTCTTTATTTTCCTTATTTAATTATTAATAAAATAATTGATTCGTTCGAACTAAATACTGCGACGGTCGAACTTGTTTTAATCTTCTCGCAGCGCGTATCATCCTGCGTCTCGTACTTCTCTTTCGTTCTCGGAAATGCTTGTTGTCCTTCTCTCTTTCAAGCAAGCATAGCGTTTATCTTGCGTTGCGAGGGGTTAGTCGATGCATCGTAGTAGGCTGTGTTTGTAATGTGTCAAAACTTTTCACTATCGTTCGGACTCGGAAGGAAGCGGACGAACATTCTCCCCGCCGGAAAATTCCAAATTTTCCTCGTCGGTCTTAGCTTTGCAAGCATTTTCCTCAATTGGGAGCGGACAAATCTTGCTGATGGGTCTTCGGAACACGCCTTGAGGTGTCTGCAGATCTACCACTCTGACAGCTCCATCCTTTCCCGGGTAAGTTGTGATAACCCTTCCTATTTTCCAGGATTGCGCTGGCTGATGATCCTCCTTCAAGACAACAATCATGCCTTCACGGATATTCGGTTGCTTGACAATCCATTTTTCACGTACCTGTAGATGGTGCAAATATTCGGACGACCATCTTCTCCAAAAGTGCTGGCGAAGTAATTGAATATATTTCCAGCGGGTCAGCCTGTTAACGGTGATGTCCTCGTATGATGGTTCTGGGATTGCCGTAAGCTCACGTCCGATCAAAAAATGGCCTGGAGTGATCACAGCCAAATCGTTAGGATCACTGGATTGTGTGAATAGCGGACGAGAATTCAATATCGCCTCTATCTGCGTCAGCACTGTCGAAAACTCTTCGAAATTCAACGATGTTGTATGGAGTATCTTCTTCAGGTGAGACTTTACACATTTTACATTGGCTTCCCAAATTCCTCCGAAGTTGGGTGCCCGTGGGGGGATGAACTTCCATTCAATCTCTCTTGGTTGACAGAATTCATCGATGACCTTACTGGTTTGCTGGTCCTTGAAAAGCTTGTAGAGCTCATGAAGCTCGTTGTTTGCTCCGACAAAGTTTAATCCGTTGTCCGAATTCATCTGTTCAGGTATGCCGCGACGACTTACAAACCTATGCATTGCTGCAATGAATGCTGAAGCACTGAGGTCTGAAACTAGCTCTAGGTGCACGGATTTCGTTGCCATGCAAATGAAGACAGCAATATACGCCTTCACCAAGATTGGTTTTCTAATCCCGTGCTTCACAAAGACTGGACCAGCGTAATCCACCCCGGTTTTGGCGAATGGAGTTGCCGGGATGACTCTGCTTTCGGGAAGGTTACCCATCTTCTGATTGACATCTCTGGGATAAGCACGGAAACACGTTACACAACTTCTGGTGATCATCCTGGCTGCCGATCTGCCGTTAAGCACCCAAAACCGTTGACGAATGGCTGCCAAAAGGCCGGATGGCCCGATATGAAGGTTTTCCACATGAATGGTCCTCATTAGAAGCTTCACAACAGAATTCTTCTCCGGAAGTATGAGTTGATGTTGGAATAATCAGGTAATTTAGAGTTTTGAATTCTTCCACCAAGCTTCAACAGCTTAAACTTCTGGTGATCATCCTGGCTGCCGATCTGCCGTTAAGCACCCAAAACCGTTGACGAATGGCTGCCAAAAGGCCGGATGGCCCGATATGAAGGTTTTCCACATGAATGGTCCTCATTAGAAGCTTCACAACAGAATTCTTCTCCGGAAGTATGAGTTGATGTTGGAATAATCAGGTAATTTAGAGTTTTGAATTCTTCCACCAAGCTTCCACAAATTGGGTCTAAATTTCCGATTCTCTTGCAGGGTTCTCCCTGCTTGACACATTCAATCTCTTCGTGTAATTCTGACAGTTGAATTACTCGAACTATCACCTCTAATGAAGCTCGAAATTCAGGAATACTCACCGAGTATCGTTTATTCTGCTTTGCGACAACCTTTTCCTTACAGTTTTTTACAAAACGAAGCACCAATCCAATAACACGCTGAAGTTTTCGGAATGAGCTGTACTTCGTGAAGACTGGAAGTACTTCAATCAACGCCGCTGAACCTTGAGTCACTCTTCGAAGTTCCGGAATCTGATCTTCGGGAAACGGATCTGCTTCGTCCGGATGGATTTCTGCTTCATTCAAAAACACCGGACCGCTCCACCATAGCCTGTTTACTCGTAGCGAATCCGCAAGTTGGCCACGAGACACAACATCTGCCGGATTGGTTGAAGTATGCACGTAATCCCATTTCGCATTCCACTTGTACGCCGATTCGTTGATTTCAGCCACTCTGTTTCGTACGAAGACCTGCAGCGAGGCCGATGATTTCTTGAGCCAGGCAAGTACGATTTGACTATCACTCCACAACAAAATCTTCTGGAACTCTATTTGCAACGCAGGAACCGCCTTGTCCACAAGACGACTCAGGAGCAGCGCAGCGCACAACTCCTTCCGAGGAATAGTCAGCTCCTTCAGTGGTGCCACCTTAGATTTGCTGCACAAAAGCTTAGTGAGTACACCCCGGTCACTGCCAATGCAGCGTACATATAAGCAGGCACCGTAAGCAAGCTTTGAAGCATCTGCAAAACCATGAAGTTCGATAACCTCCGCATTCTGGGATACCACGCCTCTTGGAATTCTCATGGATGATAAGTCTGGCAACGAGCACGCAAACATTTGCCAGGCTCTTAACTGCTCTTCTTTCAACTGCTCATCCCAGCCTAGCTCGCTGGCCCAGAGATCTTGCATGATGAGCTTAGCAAGCACAACGATTGGCGATACTAGGCCCAGTGCATCGTATAGCCTGGCTATCTGCGACAACACGTATCTTTTGGTGATCTTCTCCATTTCTATTTTTTCTGCCTCTGGAACTGCAAACAGGAACTCATCCGTTACAGGGTCCCATAGTATACCCAATGTCTTGATCACTTCACAACCACTGATGTTTTCTAACTCGAACGGTTTTTCCTTCTCTTCCTCAGGAATATTCCTCAAGATCTCTGGAGAATTTGATGACCACTTGTGTATCGGGAATCCACCGGATTCCAACAGCTGCTTCAACTGTACTATTCGATCTGCTGCTTCCGGAATGCTATTTGCACCACTCAAAATATCGTCCACATAAAAATCGTTCTCAACGATTTCTGCAGCCATAGGAAACCGCTCTTTTTCGTCCATTGCAAGCTGCTTCAACGCTCTTGTTGCCTGAAACGGTGCGGATGCCGTTCCGTATGTCACCGTTGTGAGCTCGAACACTTTTAATTGCTTACTTGGATTCGATCTCCAGAACATTCGAAGATACCTAGTGTCTAGAGGATTCATCCAGACTTGCCGGTACATCTTTTTAACATCAGCTTTGAAAACGACTGTATGCTTCCGGAACCGCAAATCGATGGAGAAGAGGTCGCTCTGCACTACAGGACCAACATGAAGAACATCATTAAGCGACCTTCCCGATAACGATTTTGCTGAAGCATCGAACACGACCCTCAATTTTGTGCTGGAACTTGAGGGTCTCAAGACAGCGTGGTGGGGCAGGTAGTATGTTTGCAAATTTGGTGGATCCGTTGACTCATTGATCTCCTTACAGTGTCCCAAGCTTTGGTACTCATTCATGAATGCCTCGTATTGATGCCGAAGGTCCGTACAACGACTTAAACGTTTCTCCAACATCATAAACCGCTTAACGGCCATTGCTCTGGAATCACCTAGTTCGTTGACATTATCCTTGAAAGGAAGTGACACAATGTACTTGCCATTCCTATCACGACGATGGGTCTCCTGGAAATGTCGTTCACAAAAGTCTTCGCTTGCGGCTTCATCCCGGTCTGAGACATCTTCAATTTCCCAAAATTTCTGGATCAACGTCTCCAACGACGGTGACACGATAGCGGCATTCGAATGCACGACCACTGTTTCTGGTTCTTCTCCGTTGCTGTTAATTTCTCCTGTTACGATCCAACCAAGCCTGGAATTGTGAAGCTCAGGAAGATTTTCAGCTAACTTCAACGTTCCTGGAACCAGTAGCTGCCAGAACAATCCACAACCGATAAGCAAATCGATATCATCTGGCCGGTGAAACTCTGGATCAGCTAGATCAAAATTCGCAGGGATCCCCCATGACGATGTGTTGATGTTCGTCAACGGAATCATTCCTGTAATTCTGTCCAGCACCAAGCAGTTGATTTTTGCAGAGAAATCCGAAATCCTGGACGTAAACTCAACCGCCATCCGCTTGTTTCCGGTAGACTTGGTACCATTGATTCCAGTAACGGTTACGTGAGTTGGTGATGATGGCAGATCAAGTAACTTGGCCATCCTGGTCGATAACATGTGTGACATAGAGCCTGGATCAATAAATGCTCGACATTTTTGAACTTTGTGGTTTTTATCCATCACATGTACTACTGCTGTCATAAGCAGCACCTGACTGGGCGAATGAGGCATGCTATACGAACAAATGGTAGACTTATCGGAATCCTTTTCCTCTGCTGATGGTAAACGTCGTGGCTTGCTGCTTCCTGATTCCGCATCTTCTTGCTGCTCCGATTGCTGCGCCTTGTTCCGGTTACTTGATCCTTTCTGTGCATCTTCCAGGTGTAGAAGAGTATTGTGTTTTAACTTGCACACCATGCACGTCTTCTTTGATTGACACTCTGCCAGCCTATGGCCTTTACGAAAGCAGTTGAAGCAAACCCTCATGTTCTTGGCTCTAGCTATACGCTCGCTTGTACTCAACGCACGGAACTCTTCACAACGGAACGTCTGATGTACCTTGTTGCATAGCTGACATGAATACCCGTTGGTATTGTCGGTGGTTGCTACTAAAGTTTTCGTAACACTTTTAGTTGGTGCTGACTTCACGTTCACCTTCGCTTTTGGGTTGACTGACGATTCTGGAGCCTCGCATCGTTCCATAATTTGACAACGTTTCCTCAGAAAATCTATTGTCTCGTTGTACGTTGGCAGCTCTCCATACTCCAATGTAGCTTCCCATAACTTCTTTGTTTCAGGATCCAAGGCATCGGACAGGTGGAGAATAACCATTAAATGGGAAACTCCTTCGCAGTGTTGTCCCATGAACTCCAGGTGGTCGACGTGCCGTGTACATTCCTCGACTAATTCACGAAGCTCGGTAGAGGACTCCTTTGTCATCCTTTTCATCTTGCTCAATCCTCGTAGGTGCGTTTCTATAATGTTGCGCTTGTTTTCGAAGCGATCCTCTAGTATTTTCCATGCCCGCTGGTAGTTGTTGTCGTTTATGGTTTTGATGTCGATAACCCCAGCTGCAGCTCCTACCAAGGACTTTTCCAAGTGATAGAGCTTAACAGCATCTGAATCACTGGAATTTTTCATTAAGTCCAAGAACATGGACTTGAATTTGGGCCAATTCTCATATTTTCCGTCAAATGTAGGCAGGGGTACTTTCAAGCTCTGTTGTTGAACGACGACTCTCTCTGATGCTCCAGCACGAACAGATGATCCGGGTGGTGGCAATGACAGACAATTTACGATCGTTTGGAGCATCACCAATGTGTCCGTGTACAGCTCTTCAAATTCTTCATATTTTATTTCTTGAGATTTCCTACCTTTTTTGTTGACGTTGTCCAGTACCTGACTGTGGTACAGCAAGTACTCGTCGTAGTGCTTAGCCAGGTTGCTCTTCATTACTTGCGCCCTTGGTAAGTTAATATTACGCCGTTCCATTCGCAAGGTGCTTCGGAGTCTTGTCACTTTCGCTTTCACTTGCCCACGCTTGTAGATAAGCAAGCTTAGCTCGTCTTCCTCTTCTTCTTCTTCAATTTCTTCTTCACTCACTTCTTCATTTTCTTCTTCGTTTTCTTTCTGCACGTCGGCCGGTTTTTGTGGCGGAGTATGTATGAGCGACATTGTTCACTACTCGGTGCACTATCACTTGCTCAAACAAACTCTCTATTCCACCTTTCACTGTTCCGAAACACCTTTCGGATGATTTTATAAGCTTTCTCGCAAAACGTGGCAATTATCCACTTTTCTTCGGTATCCGGTGTTGAAGGACCATATGTTGGGGCTCTAATTAAGTCCAACGAAAATTCTGCTGGTTATATTGCCCTGAAAGGCCACATTTATTTGCCCTGAAAGGCTACAATGACTTGCCCTGAAAGGCCACTATTTTGCCCTGGAAGGCACCAAACTTTTCTTTATTTTCCTTATTTAATAACAAAAATAATTGATTCGTTCGAACTAAATACTGCGACGGTCGAACTTGTTCTAATCTTCTCGCAGCGCGTATCATCCTGCGTCTCGTACTTCTCTTTCGTTCTCGGAAATGCTTGTTGTCCTTCTCTCTTTCAAGCAAGCATAGCGTTTATCTTGCGTTGCGAGGGGTTAGTCGATGCATCGTAGTAGGCTGTGTTTGTAATGTGTCAAAACTTTTCACTATCGTTCGGACTCGGAAGGAAGCGGACGAACAGCTTTTATGTTGTAAAATTAATGTGTTTTAATAATAACACCATTTAAAAGATATTCGATAACTGTAGGTAGTATTTTGAAAAATAGTACCTTTTTCAATAATTCATAACTTTTTTGTTTATGAATTGCCCGGCAAATTCACATTGTCGGTAGGTATCTCTTAATCTTAACTACAATATAAGTATAAAAAAATAACTTAAAAAAATATACAGTTTGAATATTTTTTTTTATTGTTTTGATTTTTTTTTTGTAAATAATAAAATAATATTTTACAATGTATATTTTTTATTTAAAGGCACAATATTGTCCGCAACCTTGCGCAAGACACCATCTCGATCAAACAAATCGTTCGCGAGGTATATGTTTTTCTATCCAGCATTTTGCGAGCGCTATGGCCGCCACAATCTGGCTGAGTTTTTGGTAGGGAACATATGATTTGACGTTTGGGTTGTGTCGTTTGACGTGTACACGTCAAACGACACAAGCCAAACTTCAAATCTTATGTTCCCTACCAAAAACTCAGCCAGATTGTGGCGGCCATAAGCGATCGTAAAATACTGGATTGATGCGTATCATTTTTGCATAATCCCTTGTCAAATGCTAGTCGTGTACAAAACTAGGGAACCAAATATGTAAAATGACATGTTGGACAATAATAAACAACTGTGCAAAATAACAAGTAATTCTAAAAACATCGATCCGAAACGATTTGCGAATCTGAGTGGAACTACTGTCCTAGCGAACTCGCTTTTGCCACTTTCATTCGTAGGACGAAGGAAATCCAATGATGTTTCAATGCGTTTGGACGGAATTGAAACTCGTAGGACGAATTTGGAATCAAAAAGCAGCGTTAGATTTTTAATAATATCTCAACACTGTGTGGCTCTTTATCACATTCAACGGTACTTATCGAAAGGGTAATAAATTTAAAAGTCATCTTTGATAGAAACATTGAATTTATTGTTACGTTATATATTTATATATAACGTAGTATTACCAGTACTGACCATATGACTAGGGAAAAGTTGAAAATCTTACTTTTATCTTAATAAATCAACTTTTTTGTATAACCGTTGCATTGTTTTAATATTACTGGTGAGTTTTCTAAAGATCGGTACTTGATTAGCTGGCGTATATAAGAAGCAGAACTTTGACTATCATTGGTCCCTTTACGATGTCAATGTCATTTGTGCACTGACATTGAGGCGAATAATATTGATATTCTAACTATGTGAACTGATACTGACATCAGGTGGCTAGGGAAATTCAGCATTTTGTAGGTATTTTGATATAGATGTTTTACAGCACTGCATATTACACAACCGGCGGAATGATCTCTGTGCAGCTGTTTGGATGTAATATTCAACAACTTTTTTCTGTGTAGTTAATAATATAATAATTATTTATACTAAAATCATCATTAAATTGAAATATATAAGAATAATCAAATTGCATACATAAAAAGTCACAATCAAGTTGCAGCTTCAAATCCGAAATGATGACTACTTGAAAAATGGTAATTTATATGTCGAATTAAGCTTATTAATAAAAATGAAGTTCCAATTAAAACCAGAATCCAGTTGCTACAAAAACCTTTCAGCCATAAACATTATTTGAAATTGTAAATGGAGCTTCAATATATTCTGCTTGTAAAATAGAAAAATTAATTCCTAATATTGCAATAAAAAATAAACTTTGTATGGTTTGAGTGTAATTATTTGCTTTTAAACTGTGATGAGCTCAAGTAGCTGTTACTGTTGCTAATAAAATAGCTGCATTTAATATAAGAATTTGAAAAAGATTAAAAGCAATAATTCTTACTGTTGATTAAATTTAACCTAATCCAATTGTTGGAAATAATCTTTAATGGAAAAAGCTAAAAAAAAAAACAGAGAATGGACATGTTATAACTTTCAGTTTATTTTATGTTGTTAAATATTTAAATTTTGGGAAGATTAATTCGAATTATATAAGAACATCCAATATAATTTTAAGTATAAAAAATAATTAAATAAACAAGAAATAAAGTTAATCATCTAATAGGGGCTATTTGAGGAATTGAAAAAATATTAGATTAATACAGTTTCTTAGTTTGACATACTAAGGTTTTTATAAAACTATTTTTTGTGTAGTTGAAGATGCTAATTTCAAATAACAGACTGTAGTGGTAATTTTTATCCGATAGATGGAGTAGATGAAAGCATAGTGTTGATAGTTCCGTTAGAGTACGGCAGTGTGAAGATTGCATATAGATATTAGAATAGCGAGCTAGGACAACTTTTAAGGAAGGTACAAATCGGTTTTTTTCATCTCTCTTTACCAAACTCCCCCTTTGGAGAGGGATGGTGAGGGGTGAGCAGTATCGCCACCACGCTGCACCAGTATTGGTTATCTGTATTATCTGTCAGCGCAATCCGCCCTGGATAGCTACTGCCCTGGGAGGCCAACCCGATGAAAGAGGCTGTCATTTCCTCTTAATACTTACCTTTCCCAACTCCGGTTACTGTGCCATACAATCCTCCGGTCCACTTCACGATTCTCATGTGGATGTGGATGTGTTTTGATTCTCGAAGAATTTGCGTTTAAAGCCATTGTTTAAGTTTGGTTGTTCCGCCTATTTCAATTGTTGGTCTAGAAATGCTCGTTTGTATACACTCTGCGATCGGAGCACGAAGTTTGACACTTGATGCTCTAGCAGAGTGTAAGCGAACAAGCATACAATTTTTATGCTTGTTCGCTTACTCTGCTAGAACCCGAGCGTCAAGTGTCAAACTTCGTGCTCCGATCGCAGAGTGTAAATAAACGAGCATAAATTCCACCACAGAGATGGTCTAACGACGTCTAACCAGCCATCCAAAAAATGTCTAACGTTAGTCTCACGTTAGACTAACATGTTAGACCGAAAAGAGCTGTAACGTCTAACAGAATGTGTCATATCAGTCTAATATTAGACGAACATTAGACTAACGTTAGACCAAATGTTAGTCTAATGGTCTAACGTGTTAGACTAACGTTAGACTCATGTTAGACTAACCTTCCGTGCTGGGATCACACACAAATCAGAGATGTCCCATTTTTAGTTACTCGATTAACAACTAATCGATTATTTTTTGTTCGCTGTGCTGCCATTTTTCCACCAATGAGCATGCTTGAAACGATCGGTGATGATCCTCTGGAGATGTTAATGCTTATATCGGCATGATATAACCGATTACACATATTTTATTTTCGGTTCGTTAATCGATTAATCGATTATTCGAAAGAAAATCAGCCATCACTAGATGAATGTGAAACGTCATTTCAAATATAAGGACCGTACATAAATAATGATACAATTTGAAAGGGACCGGGGCTAATCACAAATTACGTCCCCACGGTAACTGAAATAAACACGAGTGTTCACCGGTTGGTGACAATTTTGTCAATATCGCGCGAAAGTCTGTCAATGACAATGACAAATCTCAGCACTTCGTCTGATACATCTGATGGGGTGACTGAATGCTTTCGATTACATGGCTAGCCTATTGGTCGCAAGCAAAAGATTAACGTACCCCATTCTAGTCGAAATTCTAGTACTACGCAATGTTTGTTTTGATTCGCTGTGAAAATTTGACAGGTAAAATGAGGGGTTATTGGTTTTTCCTATGTTTCGAGGGGTGAATCGATTAGCTTGGGACCGAAGAGAGTACCAGAGCTGAGCCGAAAAGTGGAGCAAGTTATTTCGGGACCTTCTGGTCTTAGAGTTACCTCTATGGTTATATCATGCTGATATAATCATTAACTTCTCCAGAGGATCATCACCCATCGTTTCAAACATATGCTGCACTCTCATTGGCGGAAAAATGACATCACAGCGAACAAAACATAATCGATAAAAAAAATGGGACATCTCTGATTTCGGTGTGATTGTTCTGATAAAAAAAGAGCGCAAAATTTCATCTCTACCGAGGGGGCAGCAAAACCACAAAATTACCTTGCATACAGGGGTATTCAGTGTATGAAAGGGACCGTGAAAGAGGACACTAAAATATAAAGTTTTTCTTCCGACTGTTTCATCTTAGCATTATTCTTTGATCTAATAGTCCTTCTAACTAAGTATTATCGGTACACCTGAAAAACGGAATTCCTGTTTTCAGCAGTCGGAGCAAAAGAACCACACCGGTTCCAAATCCTCAATAATATTGATACCGCATAACCAACAGAATATGGCCACTCCCGGGATCCACTAAATGAATACGCAAACCAGCAGTATCGCCACCACGATTTACCATTGTTTCGGTTATCGGTATTCCAAGTGCATTTCACCTTGGATAGCTTCTGCCCTCGAAGACTTATTTACCTTTCCCAGCTCCGGTTACTGTGCCATAAAATCTCTCTGATACACTCCGCGATTATCACGGTAGTCCTCATCGATAACGCCGATGGGCACCGACATCTAG